AAGTTAGTGGAGATTTTTTGCGACCATTAGGTGTTAGCTGCACAGTGAATAACTATTAAAGTAAACAACAGCGAGTTTTGCATAAGGTTGATGTTATAATTATTGGTGATTAAGTTCTTCTTGAACAGGTCTCCTATTCATAATAAGAAATGAGAAATGTATCGACTCTTTAGGCTTCACTGACTGTGGTGGCTCTGCACATCCCTTCATGGTAGTGGGAGCTTAGGCTCCAGTGACTATATTGGCTATATGCCCTTAATGGTAATGGAAGCTTAGACACTGGGTCCATTAAAAAAACTAAATTAATTGTATGTCTTGGAGTGAGTTCTGTCATCATTTCCTCTTGATACTTTTGTATTTGTGCCTTGAATCAGAATATTTTCTTGGATATACTGCTTTGTCAAGTCTGCCTACATTATTATGAGCAACTTTGATCTGGAAATTCTGTTTGATATATGTACAAGTGTGTGATGTGCCTTTCAGAAACCATTTAAATAGAACTTTTTAACTTTTGTAAAATTGCTAATTGCATTTTTAACAGTGTAACTGTCTTTTTACTATTTTAAGAACGATGATTTTATTGCAGACTATGCCTGTTGCCATGGCTCTTCTGAGAGATGTTCACAATCTCTGTCCTAAGGAGGTTTTAATGTTTATTTTGGATTTGATCAAGTATAATGATAACAGGAAAAATAAGGTAAGATGCTCACACAAAAAGAAGATACTGTCCGCTGAGTTTTTCTGTCTGCTGAATAGTACTAAATGTTAATGAATATTCTGCAGCTGATACTTCTGTGGTAGCATTCCTTGGATGTTTCAAAGCACTTTGTGCTTGTTGACATACTAAGCACCTACCTGTCTTCATTTGCATTCATTTTTTCTTGCCTTGTCTCTCTTTCAAGAGACCCATGTAGTTTGAGGAAATGTGCATGAGCGCTAACATTTTCTGAATAAATGTAGAATGTCAAGCTAAGTACTGGGTTTGTTGTTCAGATTGTTGTGTTTGTTTTTTAATTCTGAGAAGAGTATCTGAAAGACAAAGGATTTTTTTTTAATACATGGGACTCAGATTATGGGTTGGTTCTGAAAATGAGACTTGTTCATGAAACCTAGTTGGTGTTCATCTAGTTAAATAACAACTAAAACACAGATTTGTCTTGTTCTATCACTAAAGCGAAGTATCTGAGTTAGAAGCATCATCTTAACTTTCTTCTGACACAGAGCAACTCTGAAAGATAACTCAAGAACCTTTCTAAGATCCAAAGGTGATGTAAGATGCCATCTCCATGCCTAAGAAGCTGCTAGGGTACTAACAATCTTTCCAGTTAAGTACCTGAAGTTAAGTGGAAAAAAGCCCTGCTTTTTTGTATGTAGGAACCCATCATAGCAACGCAGCTGAGAGTAATGCAGAAAGAGGGTGATAGGAGGCCAAGAAACAGAGGGAGACATGTTAATACAAGCACATTTAGAAACAATAGCTTTTATTTTCCAGGTTTGGAAAACTTTCTGTGATGGATTTTTTTTTTTCCATTTTATAAACCCATATATGACTGTTAATATACTGCTATTGCAAGCTGAAGATTATTAATGGTTTGTCTGCTTGCTCACACTCTCAAATCCATATTTAGGGACATATATTTAACTGTTTTAGTTTTATGTGGTTTGTCATTTAGTTTTTATTTTTAAAATCATATTTTTTGTATAGTAATGATTCAGAATTTTTCATTCTTTAAAAAGAAAATATATATCCTTATTTTAATGCTATTTTTGTCTAGTTTTCAGACAACTACTATCGTGCTGAGCTGATTGATGCTCTAGCCAACTCTGTGACTCCGGCAGTCAGCGTGAACAATGAAGTTCGAACACTGGATAACTTAAATCCTGATGTTCGACTGATTCTTGAGGAAATTACCCGGTTCCTAAATATGGAGAAGCTTCTTCCTAGCTACAGGCATACCATTACAGTCAGGTGTGCTTTAATAATTGCTGTAATTATAAAGAGAGCAGATGTGTTAACACCGCTTCTTGTGGTCTTCTGTAGTTAATATTTTAATGAATTAGTGTACTTGTTTGAATTTCGTATGGCAAATTATTTCTTATTTTTGGAAGTTGGTAATGCAGTTTTTTCTTGTTGACTTTATTTTTGTACATTAAATTCTACCAGTCTGGAGTATTAAAAGCATGGTTAGATTGATCATGCTTGGGCATCAGTAAATCTGTTAATTGTTATGAAAATTTTGTAAAAGAGAAAGTGGTAACAATATCTGCCCTATGTTTTCTGTGTAAGCCAGTGTAGCTCTACTTAAACCAAAATATAGAATTAAACAGGGGAGAATTTTGTTCCAGTGTTTCTGCCTGAATCGGACTTTGAGTTCTCTGTGTTAATGTTATAATTTTTTTATATATATATATATATATACACACACACATATATTAAAAAAAAAACTTAATTCTGAAGAAAGTAACTCTGTTCTCCATGGTTGGCATTCCAGAAGCCTTATGTAAATCTCTTTTCATCAAATCTAGCTGTTTAAAGGCTATTCGAGTGCTTCAGAAGAATGGTCATGTTCCAAGTGATCCTGCTCTCTTTAAGTCCTATGCGGAATATGGACACTTTGTAGATGTCCGAATAGCAGCGTTGGAGGCGGTTGTTGATTATACAAAAGGTATTTTTGGAAGTATTTTGTCATTTTGTAAAACTTGTAATGGTAATAGACACTGTAATGATCATGGCATTGATATTAGGCTGAAATATTGTCCACAAGAAGGGTGTGGTGGCGGATGATCAATAAGAGAAATGGAGATTTCCATTAACGCTTTGTCCTAGAAAAATTCAAGGTTTTTTGTTTTTAGTGCATTTTGCAAATTGAATCAGATACTTAAAGTTTTAAAATAATTAGTCAACAGCATGACGAATAGATGTAAGAAATGCTGGAGATTTGTTTTAATGCGTTGTTTTCAGTCTGTGTGATTCAGTTGACTTTAGTCAACTATTCAGCATATTCAGTTGAATTCAGTCAGAATTTTTGGCTTTGCTTTTCTTTCTTACTGATCTCTCTATTTTGCAACTTGCATGCCTCCTATGTGTGTAACTTTCTGAAGTTTGGATTATTTGAATGATTATTCAGTAACTCTGCTTTACCATTCCCTATACATAACTTATGTATGTGAGATGTTTTCATTTTTTAAATACTGTCTTTATTTTAAGTGACTGTATCAGGTCTTTGAAAGAAAATACTAGGTAACTTTCCTGATTGCCATCTGAAGTTAAAATTAAATCCTGGCAGATTTCTAGAAACAGTCAAAAATCATGTCTAGTGGTACACATTTTGTAAAAGGGTTTAGTGCCCTAGATTGATCTGTTCGTTTACTTGTGGTTGCCTTTGTGCAGCAAATTTGTGGCAATTCTTGTTTTTAGAGGTTATCCCTATCAAAGTGCCAAGATCTGCAATTCTTTGTCTGAGAGTGGAATATTTTCTCCTGGACTGTTACTTAGGCTTCTTCAGATTTCCTCTTTTTCATTTCCAGGATAGTGGAGAGTTTCACTTGGATTCTTCAGGAATTATTGTTTTTTTTTTTTTTTTTAGTGAGGAGTAATTTACATGATCTTACGTCTGTCATTATGTCCAAAGACTTCCTAAACCAGGTAGACAATGGCAGATTTAAAGACAATTTGAGTCTTACAGGTGACTGCAGATCAGAGGGAATTCTGACCTGCTCCTGTAGACTGCAAGCAGTCTCTTGGGAAGAAGAACTAGCAGCTTCAAGGGAAGCTTTGCCTTGGGCATCATCCTTATCCTCAGTCTTATAATTCAGCAGGCACCCGATATCAAAGAAGTCACTGCATATGCATCGTGCGGTGGCCTCCTGGTGACGTCTGGGTAAAATTCAGACCTCCACGGGTGCCGTTCATCTCTCTCTTTGTGTTACACAGCTCACTGTTTCTTGCTCTGTAGAGTGTCAGTGGAAAAATTTGCTGGAGGATGGAAAGCTTACTCATCAGCTGGGTTCCTTTAGAATAATCTTCTCACTCATCCCACCCTTTGGAAAGACAAACTGATAGAAATAATGTTTTCTCATTAAATTCTTGGCCTTTTATGGATGTTGTTTATAGTTAATCACTGGCTTGGTAAGAAAAATGTTTGCATTGCGAAGTAATACATCTTTAAAAGAGATAGTCAAATGAGTTGCTGTACAAGCAAGATTGGATAAGTTGCCTGAAATACTCTAATAACAGGCAGGTAAAGCTTGAATGGGAAAGCAGGATGTGATGAAGATCTGGAGGTGACGTGTTACGATGCAAGTGAATCTGTATTCCCTACCCCTTTCCAAAGGCTTTTTCCTCTGGTACAGAGGTAGCAGAAGCAAATACCTGCTTGCTGCAAAGTCACCACCGTGCACAAGGGAGCCTTCCATCCTAGCATCATCGATTTCTGTTGTTAAATATAGCCCTTTTTAGTGCATTAGCCTCTATTTCTGCGGTAGAACTGGTGGCTTTTTAGCAGAGGGGTAGGGGTGAAAGCTCGGAGTGTTTTTTTCAGTTATCCATGAAGAAGGCAGCAGCGCAGGGCTCGCGGTTCTGGCTCTGGCAGCAGAAAGGATTGGCCGTCTGTTGCGAGAGGTCTGCTCCTTGTTCCACTTACCTGGTCTCCACTTCATGCTGGATGTGAAACATCAGCTATCTGAACCTGTTGCTTGTGCCAAAGTTGGCTTTTAAACGGTTCTTATGAAGGAAACTGGCTGATTTTGTTATTTCCATAAAAAGGGAAGTCTGTATTTTCTAGGTCGGTGTGGAACTCCCATGTTTTTGTATCAGCTCTCGACCGGAATAGCACTGAGTTTTTCAAGCTATTTTAAAAGAAATAACTTCTCTGTGGAAATGAAGTTATTTTCTTTGCTGCTAATAGTAAGACTTTTTTTTTTGAGATATGGTAACTTCATAAAATGCTTGAGGGAGCATATAATAGCTTGGACGGTTGATCTAAATGGCAGTTTAATTTGGTTTTGCTTCATATATTTTATTTCAAGCACAAATAAGTTTAGGAAGTAAAAAAGATGTTTTTACCCTGAAAAGTTGGTGTTTCTTGGTTCCATTAGACAGCAATGTAAGAGTAAAGGATTCTTCTCTTAGATTGCTTATCCTCTAATCAAAAGCCATTAGGATTTATTGTTCAGTTTTTGCTGCACAATTATATTTGTATTGATTGAGAAAATTTGATTTCTACATAAGTTTGCAAACCTAAGTCTGTCTGAACCTATTTATTAGCTATATGATATGTCTAGCAAAATATTTCCACTAGCAGTACAAGTTTCTCCTGGAGAAGAGAAAACTGAGAGGGGAACTTATGCACAAATATCTGAGGGGCGAATGTAGGCAGCACGGGGCCAAACTCTTTTCAGTGGTGACAAGCAATAGAACAAGGGGTAGTGGGTACAAATTAAAACACGGGAAGTTCCACCTCCATGTGAGGAAGAACTTCTTTACTGTGAGGGCGGCAGAGCCCTGGAACAGGCTGCCCAGAGAGGTTGTGGAGTCTCCTTCTCTGGAGATCCTCGAACCCACCTGGATGCCACCCTGTGCCAAGTGCTCTGGGTGTCTCTGCTGGAGCAGGGGGGTTGGACTAGATGATCTTTAGAGGTTCCTTCCAACTTCAGCCACTCTGTGATTCCACCTCCCCCCGCCTCAAGCAAAAACAAGTTTGCATTCGTATGCTTAAGCACAAGCAGTCAGTAAGTCCTTAAAAGTATCTCCCAAGCAGTAGCTTTTTAAAAAGAAGTTTCTCAGATTCTTAAGACCAATTGCAGGTTGTGGGTTCTGTATTGAACAGATACGAATTTGCTCTGGTATCTGTCAGAGCTGAGCAGAACTGGGTAGCTGTGAATCAGTGCAGAATGGAGTTGTGGGGTTCAGTGCCCTTTGGCCTAACCAGCTTGGTTCTTGTTGGCTGGCAGGAAGAACAGAGCTGCCAGCTAAAGACTTGTGCAGCCTCCTTCTAAGCAGTATTGTAATGGAGTTTAACTGCCTGTCCAGCAAGAGATTATCTGTGCTAATTAGCCAAAGTATTAAAGGAATAAATCTAATGAGTAACTTCTTTTTGCAAAATAATATCCAGGGGCTGATTCTCCTAATATCATCCTAAATTGATTTACCTCCTCCTTTAAAAGCAACTTGCCATATTGAAATAGCAAAGGAATAATAGGAAGGAGATTTGGTTAGACTAGAAAAATTGTATTTGAGAATTATTGACTGAAAAATGACTGAAACTAGTATGGGAGGTTGAGCTTAAAAAATTTAGAATTGAAAATACACTAAATTAGTAAGTGTATATATACATATATACATATTAGGGATTATAAGAGAAAGCAATAGAAATGTATTTGGAATTTTTTTACAGCAATAATTAATATAGCCCTAATTCTGCATGAAAGCAAAGCCTAAACACGGTCTTTGTTGTTTTTAGGAAACAAGAATATGGTTGCAGACTCTTACAATAACAATAATAAAGCAAAATAGGAGATTATTTTATGGATATTATTATTATTGTTTACCCCATTTTTTAATGCAAAGTTAGTCTGACAATCAAAGGATTTTTGTAACCTAATATAAGTTAGAAACAGGATTGACTACCTACTTTAAAACAATTTTCTAGAAGTGTATGCTAACAAGTTTCAAATATATTTTAATATCTAAGTATGCTGTTTCAAAAAATAAGGCTGCAGAGGGGAGTATGTTTACTGTTTAGGTAAGCCCTGTAGTCCTCCTCTTTCTATTCCAATAATGGATAAAAAGCTATTACATATTCCTGCATATTCCTTTCAAAATTCTGTATTTTATATTCCCTATAGAAAATATTATGCTTTAGATTGTTGAAAGAATACTTGAATGTATTGATATGGAAGATTTTGTATTAATGATTATCTTTCTTTTACAAAGCACAACATAATTTATTATTATAATGATTCAGTTGAGAAATTGTAACCTCTTTGTGTTCTAATTCAGGAATTTGTGATCATCTCGATCAAACCCATTCCAGTTTCTGTATACTTACAGCCATTTTATTTTCTTTGCAGTTGATAGAAGCTATGAAGAGCTTCAGTGGCTCCTCACCATGGTTCATAATGATCCAGTACCCTACATAAGGTTAGTGTGTCAATGAATGGCTGGTGTTTTTCCTAATAGCAGAATTACTATGTGAGTTCGGGATCTGGGGTCACTAAAGAAGTGGGGAGAATGATCCTTCTTAATTTCTTGCAGTACAAGTTTGCAGATCAAATGCTTACCTACTTAACAATTCTTAGCAAATAGAAAATACAGCTTTGCAATTTTACATAAATTGAAGCTTGTTTTGACCTTTCCACGGTTCACATCTCAAAAATGAATACACTTTTTACTCTTTGCTATACATATATATTTATATATATATATATTTCTTTTATGTTCTTGTCCTTTGTTGAATGACTGAAGTTAGATTTCCTACTGACAAATGCCCTATACCAATCTAATGTTCCATACGGTAAAAAGATTTTGTAATATTTAGGAAAGAGCAAGATTGAGACATGCTGCACAGTAAGCTTTGCTAGCCAGCAGTGTAACACAATTGTTAGACTGTAGATGGGGTGAAAGGCTAATGTAAAAAATGTGGTATAACCTCTAATATTGCCTACTATTTTCAACTTTAGCCAGTATAAAGCCACTGAAGCTAGTGAGTGACTGGATACCTTAGCAGATGCATTAGAAACCTCTGAACATGCAGGCTCCTAATTGTTATTTTCCCCAGTGTTTTCTGCTTGTGACCACCATTAAAACACTGTATTTCAAAGTGTTGTTTTTGTTTTCTGTCTCTGGCTGGTTTCTTAAAAGATCATAGTTACAAGATTGTCTTCCCCTTTACTGCTGTCATTTTTTTGTAATGAAAGTAGACAAAGTTACTAGAGCAGGTGAAGTCTAGGAAGGAAAGAGATTTTTCATTCAAATCTCTTTCAGGAGGAGTTTCTTTGAATTATGATCTAAGCCTTGTGTATAAATATCTGAAAAAAGATTTTTCAGAGGTTTTTTTTGTCTGCAATTTATAAGATAGCAAGAAAGAAATTTGCTATACAGAGAAGATGGTTTAAAATAGTAAATAATAGAAGAAATAATGATTCTGCATAGAATGTTTCCAAGATCAGGTTTAAAAGAAATGGAAAAAAAAAGGTATCTGTTTTAAGCCCAGTATGCAAATACTGTAGGAAAAGATGGTAAATGCAAAACTCTTGTACAAAGCATAGCTTCAGGGGTCACAGTGTCCCTTTTTAGAAGGGTATGGAAATCAGTGTTTTTGTTCTTGCCATTTTATATCACAATCCTAAACCTTTTAACTTCTCTTAAGACTTTTTTTGGTGTCCATAGGAGGTTAGCTACAGTGATGGCTCCTTTTTCATAATTATGAAATATGAAATAAGATAGTTATATTCTCTGGTAAATTAGTAAAGCCTACAGTTTTTACCTAACCATTAAGAAACTGTATTTAATAGCATCGTGCTTTCTTTTGCTTTTGCTGAAGATCTAAAAGTTTGAAGTATCAGTGATAGTCAAGTTTTAAATTTTTGAAACAAATCCTGTATCTGAATAAAATGGCTAATGTTTATAAAAATATTGCAAGGTGAATAAGCTTTGTATTCTTAGGATATTCCTTTGGATTTAATTAAAAATGGTCTCTTTTAGGCATAAAATTCTGGATATGCTGACTAAGAATCCACCTTTTACAAAGAACATGGAGTCCCCTTTATGTAATGAAGCTTTGGTAGATCAACTTTGGAAACTGATGAATTCAGGTTGGTTTTATTTTCTGTGATGTCACATAGTTCAATTTCAATCTTCCAAACCTGCGAACATGCAGCTTTACATGCAAAGAGCACTCTTAGGTTTGATAGTTAGAAACTGAAGTAAGCCCTGAAGTTGACTATTGTGAACCTACTGAACTTTCTTAGCTATTTTCTCTACTACTATCGTTTGCTTTTGATGCACTGGCATAGCATGATCCTCAGAGATGTTCACTCTGAATCTTTCATTAAATAACGGGACGTGCTACCTTTTTAGCTCACTTTACTTTAGGCAGTCTGTCCTCCTTTGCTGACCTCTGAGAGAGTTATAAGCAAGGATAACATTCCTACAGATAATTTAAATAAGGTCATTTAAATATTTTTAAACCTAAGATGTGATTTGCTTTATGTGGTTAGAGGAGAGCCCAAAGACAGAAGGATCTGCAGCTTTACCATTGACCTACTCTTTCTTACTGAAGCAGTTTCAAACAATCCAGATAAACTGCCCTTTAACATTTGGCATAGTACTACACAGATTACATGTAAACGTTTAGAGAGTCTTTTAGGTCACTGAAGGCTGTATCTTCACTGTGTATGATTATTCTTAGTATTTAAATGTTTACAGCTACACTCCAGGGGCTGAAGTGGGGAACTACTAGTGGTTTAGTTTTGTAGGATTGGCCAAGCGTCAGGCACAGGAAATAAACAATTATGATGTTCCCATCAAAGTTTATTTTTGCTTCCTCCTCCCCCCCACCCTTTTTAAGAGAAGAGTGTGTGCAGTGTTATTTATATTACTTCTTTTTGCAAGTAACAAATTATTCATGAGGCTTTAAGGGCTTAAATTTCAGTGCATCAAGATGACATAATGTTCCAATTTATTTTCTGTAAGGGATAACTGTAGCACTCTGCTGTGCTTAGAAGAAATGTTAATGTGAGACAAGTTAGTAGCCACCAGTTTTAAAGCTGAATGATTCAAGACTAGTGATAAATTTTAAATTAAAACAAGCATAACATAAAGAATGAACTGTGATATATAAATAATTTCTTTCTTCTGTGCTAATGTGTTAATATTAATAAAATTGATAATGCTTACAGTTTCCAAAGATGGCCAAGATATTTGGCAATCAATTGTATTAAAGCTAAATTTTCTGATGGAAATTGAGAGAGATACTGAACAGGAATTCAGCATGCCATTTTAGGAAGGTTTAGCTTAAATTGAAAAAAAAAATTAATATTAAAGGTCCGGATAGTTTAATATTTGCACCTGATTCTCTTGCGAGTGCTTGAATGTGCCTTGTTTACCAGATATAGTTGTACTTCTGCTGTGGAGCAACACGTTCAATAAACTTATCAGCTGAGTGCTGGGCTGAGTTGTTGCCAGAATCGCTGTGTTTGCAGCTCTGTGCCAGGTGTTGGGTATCTCTCTGCTGCAGCAGATGCCAACTGTGATCTGTCCATTTCTGTATGAAAGTATCAATGCAGTATGCAATTTGTAGTGAAAAATAAAATAATAAAGCATAGTTTTATGCAGTAAGAATACTTATCTCCAACTTAAATACTGATTAAAATATTGAGTACCAAATGACGTGCATGGCATCGTAGTGATATCAAATAGGATGCTCTCATGTTACTAGTTTATGCCCTTTATCGATGAGGTTTCCAGAACAAATAGGTTTGCATCCTCATGGAATACACAAAGGCAACTGTAACCAAATCTGCTGGTGGGGGAGGCCAGCTTGGTAACAAAATGTTCTGTTTAATGTCCTACATAAAGCTTGAGGTGAAACTTCAAAGATAAAATCACACGAATGTGACTTCCCTCCCTCCCTTAGTTTCTCGTGATGTTATGACACGCAACTTTCCGATTTAGGTATTGAATCTTATTTTGTCAAATGTGTTGTCTAATGAGAGAAAGGCACATAAGGCACAGAGTATGTGCATATTTAGATGGCTTTAGCAGTTTTATTTTGGGGAAGGTGAAGATAGTGTGTCTATGTTAACAATAATCTCCCTTGGTTTTTAGGAACGTCTCATGACTGGAGGTTACGATGTGGGGCTGTGGACCTCTATTTTACCCTTTTTGGCCTCAGCAGACCTTCGTGTTTACCATTACCAGAGCTTGGACTTGTTCTTAATCTCAAAGAAAAGAAAGCAGTGCTCAATCCAACGATTATTCCTGAATCGGTGACAAATCCTCAGGAACCTGTGAACAGTGCGAACAATCACGGACAGTCAGTAGGATTTCAGAGCACCGTAAGCACCAACCACCTCACGCATCCCACCGAGCTCGCTGTGCATCCTTGCACTGCTTCCTGATTTCATGATGTACCATCTCCAAACCTGTGCTTTATTTAAGCTTGCTCTGCACCTTCTTACTTTGCCTTTGTGCCTTCTACTTGAAGAGCTGCCATGTGCCATAGCTTCACTGATTTGGTTTGGCTGCTTTCCGTAGAGCATGCAAACTTCTTGCTCGTTCTTTTTTTCCCTAGTTTCATCATTTGTGTCCTTTACAAAACTTTACTTTTCCCCGTATTGTCTATGAGACATGAAGTGATTCACAGAAATATTTGATACTGTGATGAAAACTTTTTTTTACTAAAGAAAGAATATTGCTCATTGGCAAGTTATGCAGATTTTTTTTCCAATCAAAACCTTTTATCATTAATTTTATTATATCTTCAAATATCTGTAGGTTCCTCCTTTAGAGATAGAACTTTAAGAGATAGAAAAGTTGGAACTCCAGTATGTTTTCATTGAACAAATGAATCTACTTAGAACAGTGCTCTGAAGGATTTGTAACAACTTCTGAAAAGAAACATAATTAAGTTTGATAGCTTTCTGGCTTATCTTCCCTATTGCATAATCCACAGTGTAGTTAGAAAATGGATTTTAAAAGCTATTCAGATCATGCATTTCTTAAAAAGACTGCAGCTGCTGCAAGACTAAGTCTCTTTGAACAGGATTCATTATGGAGAAGCTCAACATACAAGAGAATAATAAATAATTTTCTTAATATCAAAAAAAATGCATCTGATACAGCTGAAAGAGAATATGAATATATGGTTAGAGTGTTTCTGTCCACTCTTTTGGAAGGCTTATCTTACTTTATTAAAGCTATAGCTTGCTTTATTAAAGCTATAGCTAGTCTACTTGTGAATAAAATGAGTTTAAATTTGAGCATGCAAATTATCATGGTAGCTTGCAGGCTGTTTCCAGTAGGGGGAGAAAATGATGGTGGAGTCAGATCCGCTTAGAGCAATCCTGTATATTTACAGAACATGTACAAAGTCCTAATTTGTTGCACACAGACATCAGAATTAACTGGCAGGAGACATTTCGTTCGCAGAATTTTAGGCTGCAGTGCAGTGAGTATTTAAACTTGATTAAGGTAGCCTGAGTTTTAAAGAAAAAAGGCATTTTCCTCTTTTCCTCTTACACTCTCCCAGTGTCCTGTCCTGTGTAGTGAGCAGGATCAGGGAACGACCTGGTTGAAGAATAACTTTATTTCTTTTAAATGAGCAAATGCTAGAGCAGTTTCCTGATCAGGTTTGTCATGTAGCTGCACAAAATGCTTCAGGATGGAGAAGTGTGAGGAAGGGAAAGGGCTGCTGCTTTCAGCAGCAGTGTTGCCTACGCTAGTCTGGAAATACAGCATTAGGATATTCTAACCTCAGCTCAGGATTCATCCCTTGTATGTTCTCCTCAGCTCATCTCTGTTCTACAGAAAAGGCTACATCTCACATTGGCCAAAGTTTGCTCCAAAATGTTTCACAAGAGTGTGCCGAGTTTAATAGGGATTAAATGAGGAAGAAGAAAAAAGGCATTTAAGGTTGAAAGAATTATGAGGCTATAGACTAAAACAGATTATCTGCATACTGTAAAGCAGGCTGTATATTCTGAGAGCATAAACAAGTTAAAAATTAGTGTTGGGTGCACTGTTGTGATGCTGCATGTGCTAGGAATGGTGAAAGTTTCAAAGTTGCCCACTTTGTAAGGTTAAATTCCAAGTCTAAATTCCAAGAGCTTGAGGAGCTTGAACACTCCTGTGCAGTAGAGGAGGAGCAGCCCAGCCGAGCAGCATATACTGCTCTTGAGAGGCTGCAGCAGGGCTCTTGTGTGGCTTTCAGGGGGTTTTTAACAATGTGTAGGCTTCCATGGGTCCTTTCTCTCCCGTATTTTGTGTTGAACAAGTTGGAACACCTGTCTCCTATTTTAATGGCTCTATGTGTAATGTATTAGACTCTCCTGTTGCTTTTAAAATCCTTTAATCCTAATTTGTAGTTATTCTAAGCAATAATTTGCCAAACAGTAACTTTTCAAAATAAATACTGTTGTGATATCAGGAAACGAAAATTAAATTATAATAGACTATGATTTTTATTCAGCAAAGTCAACATTATCTTTTTAAAGCCAATGAAAATGATTTTACCTAAATTCCATATGTAGATGAGAGACTATCGCAGTTTTTCAACAGTGATGTGGATGGAGGGGAGTTGACAAGGCACAGATTTATAGAAAGACTATTCAGAAGCAGCAAACGCTCTTGTGCCCCAACAGTACCATGACTGTGAGCAGGGACAGAAAAGATGCCAACACTAGATATGCAGAGGGAGCAGGGACAGAAGTAAAGAGGAACTATGTTTGTAGGAGAGGCTGGCACAAATCCATATAGGGTTTTAGAAAATACCTTTTTCCCAGAACTACAGAGAAAACTTTGTTCAGATGGCCCACTTACTCAGAAGTGTTTTCAGCTATCGGGTCACTTTTAGGCTGAAACATGGCATTTGCTATCTTCTAATTTTGATCTTTTAATGCTGCTTCAGGAGGATGATCATCTTGTTAAGGAAACAGTATCCAGCATTTCTGGTCATCAGCAGGGGGTGAAGAGGAAGGCTGATACGCCACTCGGGTCTCCCTTGGAGCCAGGGCAAATACTAGAGAAGAATGAAGATAGTAAAGTCAAACTCAAAATCAGAGTAAGAAATGGAAATTCAACTTGCACAATATTTAGGACATATAGAATAACAGCAGTGGCTTCTGCTGACTTCTCTTAAAGCGATGCTCAAACAAAAGACGTGCTGTGTGTATGTGTACAGTAGCTGTTACGCTTACTTTGGCTAAATCATCTCCCATCAGGTTTTTTATTGGCTGGCAAGAACTAAAGTTGATGGTCAATGTTCTTGTTCACACAGCTTCACTGTAAATTAGAAAGAATTAGGAGGAAGGACACTGACCCTTTTTAATTTTAGTGAGCTTTTGTTCCTTTGCAGTGGTAGATATCAATTTCTTTCCCTCTCACCACCCTCAAAAACAAAATAACTGAAGTTCTGTTTGGTGATACTCTTAAGAATTAATTATTAGCATCTGCTTATTTTTTTTCCTGATATCTTAGTTCTCAAACTCTCAAGAAGAGGAAGAGATTGATATGGACACAGTTCATGACAGTCAAGCCTTCATTTATCATCATTTGAATATGTTGGAGAGACCGTCAACACCAGGTATGAGTAAACTTTTTTGGAAAATGGTAGCATGAATTTTTCAACTAATTCAATTGTGTGAATTTTTTTTTGTTCCTGCTCTTTATTCCTATGAATTCAATATAGTAAGTTCTAAATATTGCCTGAATAGAAGGAAGTGTGTAAAGGGTGCAGAAAAATGTTTCTTTAGCTTTCGGTATATTTGTAGATAAAGGTACATGTTTTGGATTTTGATACATGTTTGAGTAAGGCAAGTATATAGCATGGTTATGAAGCTAAAAAGCTAAGAAATGAATAAAATAAGATAAAGCTTAAATAGAACCCCATTAGCAGTTGGGTAAAGTTGATTTTGTCAGGTTTCATTTTAAAAATAATAATTTTGAAGATAAACTTCAAAAAATAGCAAGGCTGTTTCAGCAAAAAAGTCTATGATCCTAATAACTACTGATGTTAAACTACAATTTAAAAAGCATGTTAGTTTCAGGGATGCCTATAAGGGGTTGCAAAGTTGAAGAGGTAGCATCTTTCATTTCATGTCCAGCACTTTTTTCTTTCACTGCTTTAATATTCTTGTGAGTAAATATTTGATAAAATATTTTGCGTAGCAGTGTTTCTCAGAACCCTTAAAGCAGTCTGAATTTCATGAATAAACTTCCATTCACTTTGCATATCTGTGGCTAGCAGAGAAATGCCGTAATTGGCTTCTAGTTTCTCCAAAACTTCTAACTGTATTTCTTAAATGAGTTCCTGAAGGTGCCAGTGGAGCTAACTGAGGTAGCGTAGCTTGGCAGGGGTTGGAGGTTGCGTGACTGCAGGGTGTCAAAGTTAAGTGCTCGGCCCTCGAGGAAGGCCCCAGAGGGTGCCGCCTCGCGCCGCTTTGCTGTCCCTAGCCCGTGGTTGCCTCATCCAGAGCGCGCACAGGCCGTGGCCGCGGATGTGGGAGCCCTAGGTTCATGCCCCTCCAGGGCCTGCAACTTCGGTTTCTGCTTCCTTGGCAGATGCTCTAAACGCTGCTTTTTTTTTTTTTTTTTTTTTTTAATAAAAGGTAACTGCTGTCATTGCTCAGCTAACAAATTAAGTTCATATGGGGACATAAAACACAGGGAGGTCTAGTTTCTGGATTCCAGATGGCCTTGGGTTAATGATATGTGCCTGCAACAACCAGCTCGGCCAGGACCGTGTTGCTGTTAGACACGTGGCCTCCACAGCTCAGAAATTTTGTCTAAATCTGAGGCATCTAAGCAGAATAAGGGGAGGGGGACATCTAAGCCGCTCTCGTGAGCTTTGGGGCTGAACTGTACGCAAATTTTGCTTTAAACCTCCTAGAGCTGCTTTGTATTTTGCCCTCAGTGTTACGGTCACGTTTGCTGTTAAGGCAAAGAATGACATATTTAGGGCATGCAAATGTGAAGCTGCTCCGCTGAGGATTAGTATTTATAACTCTTACATGATATTTTGCAATGAATCTCTTCACTCAATTTACACACACTATGGGATATCAAGTCATAAACAAAACTCTGCCAAATCCTTACAAATAGGACTTACGGGACGTTCTGTAAGCGAGCTCTGCGCTCCAGGACTCTTGCGTATTAAGTTTGCTCTACAGTTCAGAATGGGTAAAGTCTGGTTTGGTGTGGAGCAATGGGCAGTTTGCTGCTGCTTTGGTAGGTTTTTGTCGCTGTACAGCAGTCGGGAAAGCTGCTTTGAGGTTTGCTTGCATGCTGGCTGACCTCCTCACCTGCACCACTGGGGCATTGGTCAGATGGGAATACATTCTCTTCACAAATGAGACAAGTGTTACTTTTGCCACAGATCTCATTTTAAATAGAAGCCTTTGAAAAGTGTTGTTTTGAAAAGCGTCAGATTAATTTCATTTTCTTTGGTTCATGCAGTTAGAAACAGTTCCCCTTCAGATGTTCTTTGCTTCTAAAATTTCACCTGCTTCCTACTTGGAGCGTCTCGGATAGAAGCAGGGACATATGGATTTCAGACTGAGCAAGGAAAGACAATTTAACCTTCGGGAAATAGAGTACTGCTGAAAAGAGATGCCACACAGATGGAAAAAAATCACAGTGTGTGTATAAATAAAATTATTTACTCCTTTTTAAAGCAAAACACTTGTAATGTTTCGTGAGCACCCTCAGAAAGCTGGAGTCAGTGCAGACGTGAGCAGGGCAGGCGCCCTGGTGCACGGGGCTCGGAGTTTCCCGCAGTTCTAGATGTGTTTGTCCCGGCTCTGCGACTCCTGCTCGGGAGGCAGGGAGCCCTTGGTCCCCGCGCAGCTGAGGGTCACGTCCCCACATGTCACATGTAGCCTGAGGTCATCAGCCAAGCACAGCCTGCGAGGAGCAGCTGCAGAGAGGAAGCTCGAGCTGGCTCCCAGTGCTGCTCTGTCTGTGCGTTCTCCCCCGCCCTCTTAGGATGATAATTTCAATTTGCTCAAATTGATGTGACCCTCAGAAAGCCAGGAAAATTTTTTTCCTTAAAAACTTTTGTTTTCTGTACACTTCTGCTCATGGAAAAGTTAGAGTTGAGACATTCTTCAAGGGTAATAAATGAAGCCTTGTGCTACCACTCCATCAGGATTGCAGATTTTGGTGCTATAATTAAATCCCCTTTTCATAGTTGTTCAAATAGAAAAAAGTTTCAAAAGTTACTAAAACATCCTGTCTACAATAATGAAATGGTGGACTCAAATAGTTATGAAGGATTCTGACCATTTTTTGCAAGAATTTACTAAAGCAAAAGGGCAGGTGTGAACTGTCTGAAGAAGGTTCCTATGCTGATCTGAATACTGTGCTGCAAGAACCAGGGATAAGGCAGCCTCTTCTGAGCCTCTGAAGCCACGCAAGGTCACGTCTTAACATGAGGACAGATTTTTACTTCCTGCTAGACCATCAAAAATAGTGAGTGGTTGTGCTCCCTGCTCTGTTTTAAATCAAAAGAATCTCAGGATCAGATGTTACATGTTTTCTATTGTAAGCTGTGGGTTTCACACTGTGCGTCACACTTAATGTGAGTATCCTGCATTGTTCAAACAATTTCAGTGAAGTTGGAAGATTAACATACACTACCTTAATATTTCCCTGATCTTAAAGCACGGTAGTGCTTCAAAATAAACCTCTCTAAAACTTACCCTGTATGTATCAGTATATATTAATTAGACCCTTTTTTTTTTTCTGCCTACGAAAGTGAATGCCTAACTATAGTAAATGCTTAGTTATAGCACCATGTGATCTGCCAGTGAAGTTGTGCGTTGTTGTGCGTTGTGCGTTGATCCCTAATAATTGATTAGAACCTCGCCAACCACTTTTGGTACTTCAGGAGCCAAAATGGAATCCAATTCTCTTGCCCTTTTTTTGCCAAAGGGGTAAATTAAAAAGGTAAAAATAACGTTGAAAACGTGCTAAGAGTGTGCTAGTAAATATGAAGGTTCTCTTCATGCATTAAGTTGCTTTCCTGACTTCGAGCATGTGGTGCAAAGCTCAGCACTTCAGGTGCGGTGGTTGATGGGGCTTCAGTCTGAACCACGTGGAGAAAGTCCAGTCCTCCGCAGTGGAGCCCAGTTATGCAGGGCAGCTGTAAGAACACGGTTGTCTCTTACTTCTGGGATACAACAAAACACTGACAATGCTGGGGCTTAGCTTTACTTTTTAAGGTGGATAAAAGTTGTTAGAAGAGTTCTGTTAGACTTCTCTTCAATAACATACAAGATCAATATATTGTCTGATAGTATCCATTATACTCATGTTGACTTTATTACCTAAAATATAACTGCTTCCAAACTGGTAACTCCTAGGTTTTGAGGTTCTGTAGCTAATTTTGCAGTGCTGAAATAGTATATGGTTAATTTTATGCTTCATAAAGAAGGGTGTATTCAAATTCTTTATTCTAAAGTACATGAAAGCAGCTTTAATACAAATATAAATCCTGTAGATAAAGTCACAGCATAAATGAAAGTGCATAAAAAAAGTGCATCAGAGTTCGGCTGCAGAATCTCAGCTACTCTAGTTAGTAAAAACAACATAATGTTGTAGCTCTGCCTGTCTGTGGGAGAAGTGACTGTTCATTGTCTAACCCAGAAGCCAGATACAGTTAAATTTTTCAAGTGCCTAATAACTGTCAGAGCCACAAAATGTTCTGAACTGAATTACTGAATAGAAAGTTCTCTTCTCTTGTAAATTTTCTAGAATATTACAGTAAAAACAGTAAACCCAACACAATAGTTAAGCTACTGTTTTAATGCAGGGGTAAAGCAATACAGTTGCTAAATGAAAGATATAATTAAAACAGTTAAGTCAATTATTTTAAAATCATCTTAGCAGAGAAAAGGGGTAAGTTCTTGTCTATCTGGTTATAAATCTCACTGAAGAATTTTAAGAAGTCAAGCAAATCTGCAAATTGTTAAAATATATTTAAACAAAATTAACTGATCTGTTCATCTTAATCTCAGAAAAACTTTTTTCTTTTTTTCTTTTTTTCTTTTTTTTTTTTTAATGAAAACAAGACCATACTCTACTAGATGGAAAGCTGACATTGTAAATAAACAATTTAAAAAGTCTGTTTAAGCCACATGACCAAGATGCTTGCGTCCTGGAAACTGGAGATTAGTTACACTTGGTAACTTCTGTGTGTGGATTTCATTGATGTTTCAACAGATGCAGACGTGCAGCCTCAGAACGAAAGTCTGAGATGTTTCTAGGGTAACATTAAAAGAGAATAGTGGCAATAAGGAGAAGCAGGACACTAGAGAACAGCTTTCAAGATCTTTTCAGCTTTCTCGGTTGTATGATCTTTAGAGAAAATGCTGGCCAGAGCTGCAGGCCAGCTGTTGGGCAAAGAGAAGAAATGATTTTTCTCATTAGCAAGTTCTCTCTGGGTTCTGCAGAGCCTCGCTAAGTGCTACCACGTGTGTGCTGATGCTCTTCCCAGCCGTGAGCGTGGTCACCGTGCTTGAACGCTGGCCTCTCCCCAGCTGCACACTCCGGCCCTTGGCCTTTACTCTGATTTGCAAAGTTAGTTTCTCCCTCCGTGACGGTTGAGTAAATCAGGTGCAAATTGAGTCATTTTTAGCAAGTGTCTATTTGGAAAAGTCCTACTCGAGCCAGCAGTTTTAAATAGATTGTAAATGCAAAGAAACAGAGACTGTAAGTCTGTGGTGTCCCACCCTACCCCCACAAAATCAGAAGGAGAGGAGGCACTAGTTGGAAGGTCTTTCGAGAGCTTGTTTGGGTTCAATACAAAGTAAATTAACTAGATGCCTCTACCCACCACTTTGTATTCAATGTTCATGCATCCCAAAAAAAAGGAAAAATATTTAGACAATCAAGGAACAAGATGTTTTAATTACCTGACAGCAATTCAGCAATTTTTTATTTGCAGGAAAAAAAAAACTTTAGAACTTATTAAGGTTTGCAACACTTTTATTCCAAAAGTAAGCTTTACAATCTGGCGGTTTTGTATTTTGTTATTTTGCACCATGCTTATGATGTTTGTGCACCAGGGTCCTGCTCTTTCCCCCATGATTTAGCCAATCCTGTCTCATTTAAACCCCGCTCCCATCTAGCTGGAAGGCCCCTAGTTACGTTGGACCCTGTGTGCAGCCCCGGGGGAGAGCCAGGCGGGCAGACGTGCGTCTGGAATGCCGCTGGCCACCTCACAAGGGAGCTCCTGGGCTCGCCCGGCGTTTGCTGTGCTCCGGATTATGAGAAACCCGGGTCCATCCTTGCTCCCCACACGAGAGGAAATGGCTTCCTGCAGGGAAAGGGAATGCTTGGAGTCTCTGGGCAGCCCTCTCCCCCGATGATGGCAGCGAGATGTTAATGCCCTTCGAAGTGATTCGCGTTTGGCCAGGCTCTTCTACGTGGCAGGTTCCTGGCACAAGATTTGAGCAGCTATTAATTAAAAGGAAATTACGAAGAAGTGTTCTGCCACTTTAACACCCATTCTTTTCGAGGGTAATTTTACAGCTGCAAATCTGTAAAATGTTTTGTAGAGCTTTTACAGAGTGGTGCATTTTGCTGCTGGACATGGTTCTCCGAGTGGATACATCCATTCTGAGGCATCGTCCATAAGCAGTATACTTGAGTGCTAGTTCCAAAGGGCTCTTTGGCAGTGTGAAGGTTGTTCTGGGTAACGGCTGCTCTTGCTTTTAAAAAGCACAACTTTTCTCCTGTCAGTGAGTTCTGTGGAAAAAATTGCACTTACTATTGTTTTGGTAAAGATTTTTATAATGACGCTTTCTCATTTCCTACCACCCTTGTAGCATATTGCCACTGTGTCAGTAACCCCTGTGTTATGCTTGGATTGCTTTCCCCTCTTCCCAAACATCTTCCTGCCCATTTCAGTTCCTAGGTGCTCATCAGTGCTCCTTCTGTCCTGTTGACTTGGACTAGTGTCACAGTTGCTCCCTAACTTGCTCCAGTCAACATCATTTAACCTGAATTCTTTAAAGAGTTTTTGGTGACTTAGCTGAAATAAGTTCAGAAATGATTTGGTGAATGGTGCATGAGAACAGTCAGCAGCAGGAAAGGGGCACAAGCCTCAGGGCATCACCAGCATCACCAAGGGCATTGGGTGCCTCCCTGGGGCTCACGGGCACTTTGCCCTCAGAGCTCCTGCTGCATCGGCCCGTGCCCTGATACCACCTGTATGGGCTAGTGTTTTTTACAGCACAGAGGCTTCCAGGTTTTTACAACAAAACAGGCTTCTTTTCTGATGACCCAACTAAGGTGAGCTCTTCTTCCACAATAGAGTCTTCTACCTAATGGGTGTTTTTATCTGCTTGTTCCTTATTAAACGAAAGAATTCCTACTTGTTTGAAGTTGCTTGCTTTTGAGGAATGCCCTCGGATTCCGAGGGTAGGTTTTGATGCGGATAGAAGCTCCCTCAGAGAAATCTAACTAGAAGCAGTTCAACAGTGAAGCCATCTCCTGCCTCGCTGTGTGCTGTCTGCCTTGTGGAGAGCTGCTCTGGGTAAGAGCAGGTGCAGAGCAGAGGCAGTGACTTTGCATGGAGTTCAGCGAGCCAAAGTCTGACTCTGTGTGCCTGTCTTATATCTGCCATAATATACAGCAAAAAGTTGTAAATTCTAATGGCGTAAATTCTGATGAGAAACGTTTGCATTGCTAACGTACACTCATTGCTGGATCATCCTGGTAAATTCAAACTTAAACTTTAAAAAAATATTTGCCTATTCAGAGATGTTAAGTTTAGGAGACTATTGTGCTCTATACTGATCTCCTTTATAACATTAGCAGAATTTTATATTGCACTGTGTTCAGATTTTGAACCCAGGCATCTTTTTAGAAAGACATCACTCTTGATTCTGATGGTTTTCAGTAGATTCTACCCTGTCCCATGGTAAGTGGTTGATTACCCTTTACTATGAAGAATGTGCGTTTTATTTCTATTCTGAATTTTAAAAGTTGCTTACAGATGCACTGTCTCCTTCAGCTGTATTTCAAAATGAAACATACTGCCATGGTAAGTGGTTGATTACCCTTTACTATGAAGAACGTGCGTTTTATTTCTATTCTGAATTTTAAATGTTGCTTACAGATGCACTGTGTTGTCTCCTTCAGCTGTATTTCAAAACGAAACATACTATTGTATAAAAGCTTGCCTATGTATAGGCAATTGATTGCCTATATTAAAGTGATTGCTTTTAATCTTCTTTTGGATAAGCTAGATACATTGCATAGGGATCTTCCTTGGTGCCCATTTGTCATTCTGAAGTGAGTTGGCTCTGACCTTCAGGAATAAGGCATTACCACCAGAGAATTGTTCATGATCTTAAAATAAGACGTTTTAAAAAATGTGCTGGAAAAAAATGGTATATGATGGCATGCAACAAGTTTCCTTGCTCTTTAACAGGGATATTTTCACCCCTCAAAAAAAATGAAGGGGAAAAAACTCAGGCTGCTGAAGGGAAAATCTGCTTAGGTAAAAGCTTTAAAGGAAGAGTTGCCTCGAGAAATCTGGTGCTCTGATGTGCTTGCTTGAAGCACTTACCTAGGATATTTCATTTCTGCCTAAACCAACTCAACAAATATTTCAAGTGTTTACCCTGATTAATTATGCTATTCTTAGATCATTTCCCTTTAATCTCAACTGTTGAAGCTATTGCAGTTTATGTGAAATAATGAGATATTTAATGAGCCAAAAGGAAAATGAGAGAGCAGCTGGGGAACTGAGAGGCTATGGATCAAATTCTCTCTCCACCAGATACAAATATAGAGCTCACAAAGTATCTAAGTAGTCATACTGCATGTTTGCAACCCATGCTTGTGGAGATCAGTAACTGCCTTAGGGATTTGCTTTTCATTTAAGAACAAAACTTTGAATAAATTTTAAAGTAGGCTAAATTAATTCTGAGAGGCACTTATTTTGAGGGGAAAAAAAAAAACAGTCCTTTTCAGCTGTTTGGCATAAAAAGGTTTGTATATACTTGTAGAGAACTTACTTTCTGTCTGAAAGGAGTTCACATCCCAAAGCTGCACTAGAGTGTATGTCACTCCTACACTTCATGTTTTTCATGAGTAGCTATTTTCTCATAATATAGTAGGTATCTACTGTGTAGTAAACAGTTTCCTACTGTGCTTAAAGTTTGGTTTCTCGAGGCTTTCAATTTCTATTGCATCTTTCAGTTTCTTAGCTCCACACAGCTCTAGATAATCTGGGGTGCACTTAACGCTTTTGATCTATTTTCAATGAAATCGTCAGCAATATGGAAACACAAACAGCATGTTTTGGTCCTTTTCTGAATGTTACAAAAGGTACTGGTACCTGCAGACTGCATGTTTACATATTAGATGCCAGGGTAGGTTCTGACGAACGTCTCAAAAATTCTTCAGTTTGAAAATTATACAGATTAATAATTAATCCATTTCTGTCATTTTCTTAGGTAAAGAACAGTCTTCGGGAGAGATAATCATGCACCCTGTCGCAGCAGCTCCACTCTCTGTATTCAGTAAAGAGTCGAACTCCTCAAAACACAGTGATCACCATCACCACCACCACCATGAGCACAAGAAAAAGAAGAAGAAACACAAGCATAAGCATAAGCATAAACATAAACATGATAGTAAAGAAAAGGAAAAGGATCCTTTTTCTTTCTCTAACAGTCCAGCAAGCGCACGATCAATCCGTTCTCCATCCCTTTCAGACTGATATCAGTGGCTCTAGGATACAGCTTGCAATATTCTGAATACTTAGAAGGATGGGTATAACTATAGCTTCGATCTCTTTTTTATGGATATAGGAATATGTGAATTGCCCTAGCAATTCTGCAGTTCTGCCACAATCCTAATTGAAGTCTTCTATATGCATATGCAGTTATTGAAATAATCAGACTGAAAAAATGATTGGTGATTCTCGGTCATTTTGTGTTTTGCTGTTTCACTGTTCTCCATACCTACCGCTTTTTTTTTTTCTCTCTCTCCTGTCTTCTTCATTTTAAACAAAGAAAAGAGCCCTATATGTAAGAGCCCAGTGACAACTGGCAGCCCCCTGCACATCATGCTGACCATGTGTACTGCCAGAACCAATTATGTTTTAATCCTCTGAAGAACGCTATAAGGCAGAGGGTGTTTTAAACAGAAGCCAGAGCTTTGGTGAAGTGCTGTTTCCAGCTGTTCCCAGTGCTATTGTCTAACGAAGGGTAGACCTCCTGAGAAGACAAGCATTCTCTGTAGTCTTCAGTTGAGCTGTTTCAGGCTTTAACCATTGCAATTTAATGTTGGAATTTTAAGAACGACTTATGGAACACTTGTTTTTTTCAGATACTAAAACTCTTAAAAATTCCAAGCTGCTTTTAAGCTGCAGGTATTTATTATGGACATGACCCTTTGAATATAATGACTTTGCAATTATGTTTTTGGAATTTTAGTAAAATGCTTAATGCATGTTTTGTCCTGTAATTAGACTTTTAAAAATCCAATAAAGTTTGCAAATTATTTTGACAAAGGCAGATTTTTTTTCTTTAAGCTTGACATTGGAACATGCTTTTGAAAAATGGCTTTGCTAAAATTGAAAAATATTTTTGAAAAGCTACATGTAGATTTAAAACTATGTATTTCCTTCTGCTCAAGTGTGCTTTCTTGGAAACATTCTATTGCATCAGTTGATGAATTCACAGGGACTTTAAGTACAGTTGAATTTCTTTTGCTGTGTTTTATGCAGTGTAATATTTACACCCAGCAAATGTTTTATTTAAAAACTCAAGTTTTTAAAAGTTCTAATAATAGAGGTACAATCTCTGCCACTCTTCATGTTTTCTTTATTTGTACATAGAGGCAGTGTTTTATTTCCGTGTGCTGATTGACTTCTGTTGCCCAGAGTTCACACTTCATTCATGTAAGATGGTTACATTTGAGTTAAACATTTTATTTACAATTTTTCATGAACGCCTGTGGGAGAGACTGATTCTACTTCTAGGGCAAAGAAAAAGAGTTCAACGGGGACCCAGGAAGGTTTTTCTAAAGCCATATTCTGTTTCATAAACGTTAATAAATGCTTTTTTATTGTATACCTGCTGTTGAATCCTGTAATTCTTGTAATAACTACTCACCAGTAGAATGAGAAAGACAAGCAGTAGATATAAGTATTTTGTAATATACCTATGCTTATTTTGTTAATCAGAAACCCCATGTGGACACTTTTGTTAATTGGTTTGCTCCAAAGACGTGTAGATCATGTTTGGGGGGAGCTTAGACGTGCTGGAACCAGGCCGCATCGCAGTGTCTCTGTGCGATGCGGCGCCCATCGGCCCTCATGGCGGGTGAATCCCCCCTTGGCAGCTCTTGATTCCCCTCCAGCTTGTAGCTCTTGGGCTTTCGGTGAAGCAAAGGTGCAAAGGAGGAGCAAGAGGTCCAAGGGGGAGGAGAGGGAGGTCTGGAGTCTCTTCTGGGTGGACGGACAACACGTGCGGTTGAGTTTACATCTCCCCAAGCCAGCGAGCTGTTGTGTTAGCACCACAGGACAGGTTCATGAGGCCATAGCAATAGCTCTGTGGAAATATTTTTAGCTCTTTTTCCCTTGGCTAAGGAGTGAGGTAACGGTGCCAGAGGTGTTTGTGGGAGACCTGGGCTAATAAGCAGTGAAAGGTGGCATTGTTTGGTGCCGCAGAGGCTGATGCATTTATATTTTAAAAATGAGGTCATGGATAATGTAGGCCAATGTCGTTTTTTACGTTTGGAGATGTGGATTTGCACCTTATTACATTGAGGGGACATGTATTGTTTAGTGATAGGGGCACAGAGCTGTAATGCCCTAATTCTAAATGTAATGTCCATGAATTCTAAAATTCATGTGTCTGTCTGTATGACCCCTGGCAAATTGTTGGACATAAACTAAGGGAATATGGCAAAGATGCAATTGCTGGAAAATGCTGTGGGAAGAAAGGGTGTAGAAGACCCCAAGGGCACCTAATGGTGGTCAGCAAGTCTTTCCTTGGAGGTGTTTAGGTAGCAGATGGGCAGGTGTCGCCTGGAGGTGGTTTCAGTATATTGGGTCCTTGGATTAGGTGACCTTCCCATGATAGTTGGTTTTCATGGTTTCTTTGATCTTCCTTTTCTCCATCAGAGAAATTCCTGCAGTGACTCCCTGGATGTTTTGGGTGGGGAATCAAAAGGCTGTGCCTCCAAAGAGCTTAGAGACTGCAGTTTAGCTTGGACTTGCTGGGGTTTTTATTGCTTTTTCTTCCTCCTTAAAACTTTGACTATTTCAAAGTTTTAACCTTTGGTCAATTCAGTTAAATCCTTTGGATTTGGCTGGTGGATTAAGCTCTTTATCCTCTTCATAATCAAATCTGATAGATGGACTGTGACCTATGTGGTTTCTTTAGTAAAGACTGTGATTTATCAGCTTAAACCTCGGGTTTCTGGCGTGCCCTCCTTGAAACCGAAGGAGAAATGTTTCATCTGAGCTGGGGTTGTATCTGACTACTGGAGGAATATGCCTCACAAATATAGAGTGTTCTTGAAACACTCTACATGTTATTGAAAGCATGCAGATGTTCTTGAAAGCGTGCAAAGAGGTAAAAGTCTGGAAGTTATTGTGGTATTTCAGATTTTAATGTGATTCCTTTATTTTGTTCATTAGAAAGTGTAAGGCAAATATATAATATCAAGCTACCTATCTGAAACTTCAGTATTGGCTTGCCATTTGTCTTGTGGTTTTTTTCTTTACATCGCAGTGTTACTATAGATGAGGATGTCTATAAAGTAACCACTGTGCGTTTTCTGTGTTTGTAGACGTCTGCAAGCTTTTAATTCATTAAGATAAATTAATTTATGTTAATACCTTCCTTTTGGTGCCCACGTCCAAGTACATTTCCATTTGGGTTGCTTAGCTCCGAGCTCTTGTGTGTGTCCCGTTTGCTGCGGGAGCAGAGCAGAACTGCAGCGGCTCCGGCATCTTGGGTGACCTGGTCCTGGCCTCACTCGTGCAGTCCCAGCAGGTGCTGGAGCAGGAACTGGGATTAACACCAAAGACCACAACCTGTCCTTGCACCCTTCAGCATTTTAGGGCATGAAAGTTGTGTTTTAGTCGACTTCATAGGCACAGAAATATGGTAATTTATGTAAACTTTGTATGAGGAAACTTACAAGTCAGGTCAGTTCCTTAAGACAATTTATTCACAGAAAAATAAGAACCTGATTTTTAACACAGTATCAATGTTGCATACAGTTCTTAAAGTAGAGGAGGCAAATATACATGTTTTGAGTTAACTTGCTTTTATATACAAGTATAAGTATGTTTTGATGTTGTATTTCTCTATTGTAATCTTTTGTGTTTGTATTTTACAATATGCTTATACATGTTTTATATCCTGTTTTTTATTATGTAAAATGGTAATAATATGAGTGTTTTCATATTACTAAGCCCTGACAGCTCACAGAAAGTCCATGCTTTTCTGTAGTCATCTAATATCCTAAATACAGTTTTGCTAAACACATTTCTGGGTTTCATGCTCTAGGTAACCTGCGTGTGCAGGGAGGTTGGATTAGATGATCTCCAAAGGTCCCTTCCAACCTTAATCATTCTATGATTCTTTTCTTACTGTCAGGTTAAGTCTACGGTGTGATCGAGGTTTGCTGTGTATGACTCAGGATTTCCCTGGAAAAGCTGCATATTTGATTGGAACGTATTTCACTTAGTACAGTGCTTCAAAAGATAAACACGAGTATGTTTGTGGTCAACATTGTAGTATGAAAGTGAAAGTCGAAAGCACCTTCAGCTGGTTGAGTTTTCCTGGTTCTGGGAAGCTGCACGATGCCGCTGGGGTGACTTTGCTGCTGGTCACAGCTGGGGGATGGAGGTCGGTCTCCCTGACCCCATAGTCCCACCTTGGGCTTCTCATGTCTTAGCTGGGCTCTTCTGGGCCCTGATTCCACTTGCTCATCTGTTGGCCAACCAACAAAACAGGCGTCATATGTTCTGCATTGGCAACCTGAGCTGCTTCAGCAAGGGCTCAGCAAGTGGCAAGATGAGCACGTGGCTGGTGGGTAAGAGCAGGGCTAACAGTGGCAAGCTGAGTTTCTACATCTGCTGCTCCTTGGCATTCTTAATTTGCTTGCAAATAGGTTCAGGAAGTGTTTTGTGTCGGATTCATTCTGGAAATTTTGGAGCATTCCAGTGCAGGTTACATGACCAGCTTTTTTTTTTTTTTTTTTTTTTTTTTTTTTCTGTGCTGTGTTTAAAAATAAAAAGAAATGGTCTCAAGAGTAAAGGTCCTGAAGTTTCTGAAGTTTGCTTCAGAATTGCACAAGAGGTCATTTCAGGTAAAATCAAATAGATTTTTTTATCCCTCTTCTATTTTATTTTTATTCACAGGATTGAATTTCAGAATATTTTTAAAAGTAAAACATATTTCATTCTAAAAATAGCTTTCATTTTCTAGATGTTTCTTTCTCCCCCCAGTTTTAATTTTCTTTTTATAAATAAACCATGTTTTCAAAAGAAAGCATTTGATAAAACTTCCACATGAAAACATGCCCTGACAAGAGAAAAAAAAAAAATCTGAAAACTCATTAAAAACGTGCATGTTTTTATGACTAGTTTGATTCTTTCCAAAAACTTATTTCAGGGAAAAATACTCCTCCTCACCTTTCCAGGAAAAGGCGGATAACTGTGCTATTATTTTACTATTATTTACTATGATTTTAGACTCGCCTCTGGTGTTGCTGCAGCCTCCCTGGTTTCCATCCATTACTTTTTAGCTTCACTTCTACAGTCTGTTGAAACATTCCTTACACAGAGTGTGTCAGGAATTTATTGCTTTTACTTTACCTGTGTTTGGAGCATTATGGATCTAAAATGTTCCTCTGTCTCAAATGCTTCT